TCAAATAACTATCCTACCAGACCTTACCCACCTCCCTAATAGAACTTTATTGCTCTGATACTCCGATTTCTATCCTACCAGAGTTATCTACTCCTTAACAGAACTTATTTGCTATAGTATTCAACCTTAACGAGTATTTTCCCTGAATCTTAAAAACTCAATACTTCAATAATCCTGTACTATTTCCTAAACTTTACCTTCTACATGACTTTTTTAATTAGGAGTAAAGAAATTGTTACATTGATATAGTTCCACTCGAAAAACGATAATTTTTGCCCAAAGATCGTTCAGGATAATTTCGGTTAGTCTTTGCAGATCAATTTCGACCAATTAATTTTTAATTTATTTTTTTTTTTTATTTCACCGGTTATTAAATTTGTTGTTTTAATTAATTAACATTTAATGATTAGCATTTTTTGATTTAATAAGATTGGATTTCGGAAGTGGAACGCGCCGTTTTTGTGGCAACACTTGATATATAACATCATTTTCGCTTAATTAAAAAACCTTCTGCTAACTTTTGTTTATAAATTTAAACCGAATAGCCCAATATTATAAGCTTTCACGTAAAACTATAATTAATACATCATTTCAAATACGGAAATCGCAGATTTAGGAAAATATTTCTCATATAACACATTTCTTTACAATATTTATATCATCATTTTTATATATGGGAGGTAAGCTATTAAAATCACGTTACGGATCATATGATCGTAACTCGATTTTAATAGCAAACCTCTTAATCGGTCAATTATTTAAAGCAAATAATTTAAAGGAGAATATATTAGCAAAATAACTTTGAAATATAAATAAATGAATCGAGCAATACAAATAACGGTATGTTAACTATTCACTATATGGGTTGATTGCTAGGAAAATCAGGATCCGGGAATTTTTTAACAAAATTGAGATTTTTATTGCATTTTATTATTTGATGTTATTAGATCAAAAGCATTAAGTTCTTAATTTTACTCAAAAATTTCTCGGAACCTGAATTTCCTAGAATTCCTCCCATATCTTCAAATTAGGCTTTGTGTATTGATTTTCGGAATACCTTTAAATGCAACTTATAAAAAAGTTATTTTACAATATGCCAATTTTTTTTTAATACAGTTAATTGTCGACTTACTTAAAATTTTATATTTTGTTTTTACATACTAATAAAAGTTGTATATTTAGCTGAATTATAAAACTTAATTAAGTGATATGGCAAAACTTTAATTGAAATTTTTATTAAATAAAATTTATAATAAATATCGCGCTATGCATATATTTAGTATTCGGCGCAGAATCTCCATTCTACGGTAAGCGGAAAACACTTATATACATCCTTTATATTAACGTTCCTTTTTTATTATATACTGTATAAATAATATTTTAAGACCAGGATGTCACATTGGGGTGCGCTGTCAACTAATTAAATCAAAAATTACTATTGAAGATTTTTTTTATATTAAGCTATTTATAGTATAATTTAAATTATTTTATAATAAATTTACTATTAACGAAGTTTTCTTTCTTTAATAACTCTGGATCCTTCTTATCATTTTCATTTCAGTTTTTCGAAAATACTCCAAATATGCGTCTCTTTCACAAAATAGATCGCTTTTTTTTAAAAAAATTCATTAATACTCCGAAATTAATAAATTAAACCTTCTAAATAAAATAAAACTTTTTTTTACGTGAGTTTTGAAAAAAACGATGTATTTTATGTACCCATTCAACTTTACTGCGTTACTTAAATGTTAATAGAGTACAAGTATTTAAATTTTAAAGATTTCGGTTATTGTATTAGAATTTTATTAAAAAAATGGCTCGCAAAGCCCGAAGTTAAAATGATCTTCAAAAATCTCTAATAGTAAGTTTTACTATAGGACCATATATAGTTTTGTTAAACTATGTTGACAGCGCACCCCATTGTCACATGTAGAAATTGTCTACGAATGACATGCATTTTTCATGCATTTCTTAGATTTATTTTTAGGAAATTTCATCAAAAAAATGATCAAAATACCTTTGAAATACCATTTCCATCAGATATTAAAGGCCAAATGCAGAAATTAGTAAGTATATTTTGTTGAGACCTTTGGATTGTGCAACTAAAGAATTTTATCTAGGAATTTCAACAAATACAAGCAAGTAAATTAAATTATTACTATTAAGGAAAATGGTATTATGAATGGGCACTTAGTGAAAAACAGATTAGAGAATGTTTCATAAAATATATCTGGAAAGAAAATATATCATTATAAATAAACATTACTATAGTAATTGTTATATTATATTGTAATATGTAAATAATGCTTATACAATATAAGAAATTTATTGCCTAATACACGATTTATCATAGTGATTGTTAATTATAAAAAAACTGGGAAAAATCAAAGGATACTGGATAATTAATAAATATTTGCCATAGCATTTTTTATTTTATTATTATTATCCATCCAAATTCTAGCAAATAATCAATAGTTAATTAATAAGAAAATGATTTTTATCAGTGATAAATTAAACCAGATCTGATTGTTTTCTCTTTTAAAATTTTTTACAATTCAAAATTTATTTATTTTTATTTTCATCTATGTTTCAGGTTTTTTTTAAAAAACTTTAGTTTGAAGTGATCTAACCTGAAAAAGTAAAAAATAGTCATTTATTTAGAAGAATTTATTAAAAATATTCACTTTTATCTTTTAATTTAAAAATAGCAGAAAGCAATAGCTAAAGAATTTTTACCTTTATAAATTACTTATATAATAATTCTATTTTAAGCTGAGAGATAAATTTTAAAATAAAATTATTTAATTTTTTATAAATATTTTCAGATTTTAATTATAAAGAAAAGAAATTGTTAATTTTTTTTATTATAATAAAGTAATAAAGAAAAATAAATAAAGAAACAGTTAAAAAATCATAAAAATTTATAATTAAAATAAATTGCTTATATATAGTATATGTAGATAATAGATTTTTTATATTACTTTAATTTTAATTTATAAATGCATAAATTCGGATTTTTTTTTGAAATTCGATTTTAGATATCTTAATTTTAAATAGTTTTGTATCTAAAATTCAAATTTATCTGAAATTAAATTTCAGATATCTTATTTTATAAGGTCTTGTATATAAAATTCAAATTTCATTTGAAATTCAATTTCAAATATTTTAATTTCAGATGTTTTGTATTGAAATTCAAATTCCATTTGAAATTCAATTTTAAATATCTCAATTTTAGATAATTTTATATCTAAAATTCTGATTTTATCTGAAATTTAATTTCAGATATCTTAATTTCAAATGGTCTTGTATTTGAAATTCAGGATTTTATCTGAAGTTTAATTTCAGATATCTCAATTTTAGATGGCTTTTGTATTTGAAATTCAGATAACAAAAAGAGTATCTAAATTAGAATTCTAATATTAGTTAACTAATTTTAAATCTTAATTTCTGATATTTGAAGATTGTTTAAATTTTAATTTTAAACAAAAATTAATTTTAGTTATAACTAAAATATTTGAATAATTCTGAAAATAAAATTAATTAAATAAATATAATAAAAAAATAAATTTAAAAAAAACTTGTAGATATTAATTAATTATCTATTTTTTAATTTGATATTTAAAAATCTATTAAAAAAATCACAGATATTAAAAAAATATAGAAAATTATAAGAATGTATAACTAAAAAAATTATATCTGAAAATCAAAATATTTCTTTTATTAGAATATAATCAATTAGAACAATTTTTTACAATTATAAATACAATTATTTTATAACATCTTTAAATTTAAAGATAGTTTATATTTTTAAATTATCATAAATAAATTTTTAAAGTATAATTAAATTGATTATACAATCAATCACTTAATTTTTCACAACTTGAAGAGGAAAAATAATTTATTAACTTATTTTATCTAATGAATTTTGGCTAAGAAATGGTAAAATATTTGGTCAAAGTTGTATTAAAATGTATTCAAAATATGATTTAAATTTTAATAGGACACTTAATGTTAAATAAGAGAAAATAGTCTTCTGAAAATTGCAATTCTATTCTTTATTATCTTTAAATTAAGCTTTTCCATTTAGTATTAGTATTTGTTTTAATAACATATTACTATATAATGACATCCTATATTATTTATAGTTATTAAATTCAATTTTTTTTTCTGAAATATGTTATTTATAATAAAGTCATAATTGTAAGATAATATGTAGACCATATTATATATAATAATTTATTTTAAAATCAATCAATAAATTTTGTTATTTTTAAATTTAAATAATTAAAATAAATTATTTTAAGCGTAAAATATTTACCAGTGTTAGCCTATCAATCATTTAATTAAATAACCTAAAACTTAATTCAGTTTACTATAATTACAATTACAATTAAACCTATATAAACACTATAATAAATGATTCATCACTTGATCATATCACCGAGAATGTGATTTATCATCTGAAATCGTGAAGAAACGAAATTTGTGAAAAGAATTTTGAAGAAACTCATTGATTGAAAATGGTACAAGAATCATTATTTTATAATTATTATCTGTAATATTTTTTTCATTTTTTTCTCTTTTTTTTAAATCACAGTGCATCTGTGCCATGCATTAAACATAATTCTTGATATTTTATTATCACATTTATAAATACATGACAACAACTATATCATTCTTGCAGTTGTTAAATTTGTGCAAAATATAATTTTTGAAATTTTTATAAGATAATTCTTTTTCATGTAAAATATATTTTGTCAATTTTTTGATACTTTTATATTGAAGAATGATAAAAATTAAAATAAAAAAATAAAAAATGTCACCGACGATCCATTGCAAAAATAGGTTAGATCCTTTTTAAAAATAACCGAAGACTAGATTATTTATGGAAATTCATTTAGTCATACATATGGGAAAAATTTAAACCGAGGGCTGAACTGTACTTGCATAAAAAGAGAATAATTATCCTTAGAACAATTGTTAAAATATCTTATTACATAATGGTTTTAAGAAGAAATTTAGAACAAGCCTTAACAGACTTGGAAACTAGAATTAAGGAATTAGAACAAAGTAACGAAGGGTTACGTTTACAATTCAAAAATTTAGAGGAAAAGTTCAAAGAGCGAGAAGAAGAAACCAAAACCGAACAAGAAACTATTAAGAAATTAAAAGAAAAGATTAAAGAGCGAGAAAAAGAAACTAAAGACAAACAAGAAATTATTAATAAATTAGAAGAAAAGATTATAGAACGAGAAGTAATAAACAAAGACAAACAAGACATTATTAATGAATTAGAAAAAAGGATCATAAACCTTGAATTAATTATTTATGATGATGATACTACTTTTAGTTTAACCATTACAGATACAAATAAGGATGACATATTAAATGCCTTCGGCGGATTGCGAAGATATCGGAAATTAAAAGTGCTTGACTGTAATTCCTCAGATATAACCAGCCTACCAACTTTACCCGACTCCTTAACGGAACTCAATTGCTCTAAAACTCCAATAACTATCCTGCCAACATTACCCAACTCCTTAACGGTACTCAATTGTTATGGTACTAAAATAAATAGCTTACCAACCTTACCCAACTCCTTAACGATACTTAATTGCTCTGGTACTTGGTCATCTTTTAATCAAATATCTATCCTACCAACATTACCCAACTCCTTAACGGTACTCGAATGTTATTGGACAAAAATAAATAGCTTACCAACTTTACCCGATTCCTTAACGAAACTTGATTGCTCTAATACTCCAATAGCTATCCTACCAACATTACCCAACTCCTTAACGATACTCAGTTGTAAAAGCACGAAAATAAGTAGCTTACCAACTTTACCCGATACCTTAACGAAACTTGATTGCTTTAATACTCCAATAACTATCCTACCAACATTACCCAACTCCTTAACAGAACTCAAATGTTATTTGACTGAAATAAATAGCTTACCAACATTACCCAACTCCTTAACGGAACTTTTTTGTTCTCAAACTCCAATAGCTATCCTACCAACATTACCCAACTCCTTAACGGTACTCGGTTGTAAAAGCACGAAAATAAGTAGCTTACCAACTTTACCCGATACCTTAACGAAACTTGATTGCTCTAATACTCCAATAACTATCCTACCAACATTACCCAACTCCTTAACGGAACTTAATTGCTCTTTTACTTCAATAACAATCCTACCGACTTTACCCGAATCCTTAACGGTACTCATATGTTATGGTACTAAAATAAATAGCTTACCAACCTTACCCAACTCCTTAACGAAACTTGATTGCTCTTATACTCTAATAACTATCCTACCAACATTACCCAACTCCTTAAAAATACTCAAATGTAATAAAACTCGAATAAATAGCTTACCAATATTACCCAACTCCTTAATTAAACTTGTTTGCTCTGATACTCACATAACTAGGTTACCAAATAAACCCGATTCTTTAACGGATATCTACCCTCTTTCCTTAAGAACTTAACACCTCAATAACTATTCTGTCAAATCGAATAATTCCTTTACTATTGCCTAAATCTTAATCTTCTACATAACTTTCTTTTAAGTCTATGTTTTCTGTGGGGTGACTGCATGATATAATAAGATAATTTTGATTATTTTATCCTTTAAATGAGCGAATATTTAATAAAATTATGAAAACGTTTGCCACGATTAAGATGTGGAATAACTTAATACAGAAAAATGTTACTTTTTGAAAGATTTCTAAAGAAATTAAATTAATTTTAATTTTCGTGCATTATTATATATAAATAAAATTGACGAGTCAGATCCAAATTTTAAAAAAAGCATATGGTAATTTGAAAATGCGAAAATGAAGCATGCTTTGACAAATTCGATTGCCTTATTACCATTCAGATTCCTAGTTCCGGATCGTTCTATCAAATTTCTACGGATTGGTATATCCGGATTGAAGGAATAATCATATAAAACGTATTTAAGATCTATACCTTACATTTTTAAATTATTTTTGAGAATTTCATAGGATGCTCTTACTTTATGATAAAGTTAGTTTATCGATATTTGTTTATAAATATTACAAATTTACAGTTTCATAATCTTAAATGGAAGGGAGAAATATAAATTTGGGTAAAGTTTTTTTTTTGTTACAAATTTAGCTTAGGAACTGAAATAATACATATATATATTTTAAAAAAAATTGTTTTCTTAATCATCTAAAATTGTTTTATATTTATATATTTCTTTCTGAGTTTTGATCCTTTTTTTTTTAATATCCATTTTGATAATTATATTTACTAAACTTTTTCCAAGATACATCATTTTGAAAACGAACTGAATAGAACTGATTTGTTAAAAGATAATTTTTTTAGTACCATTTTGGCTAGTGATGGCAAATTATAACATTTACTATTTTTTTTTTAAATGACCTCGGTCATTTTGACTTTGAAATTTAAAATGTATATTATGTCATTTGAGGCATTTGAGGTCATTTCATTGTCATTTCATGGTCATTTGTCAATATTTTAAAAAAAAAATTGGTGTTCTCTAATTATATTTTCCGTTTCTTGAATTTCTTTCCCGCAAAACATATAATTACTTTGATTGATTACTAAAAGAAAATAAAGAACTCATTTTGGCAAAGTCGAAACCTTTCGATTTCGATAGGTTTCGATTTTGATGCACAGTTTTTGACCGGCAACCTTAAAAAAAATTATCTTTGAAATGACAAGTGGGTATCATTAAGACAAGAACCCAAAATATATTGATATAGTGATTGTATTGTAAGGATGAAGAAAATTCATGGTTGTAGAGTGATTTATCTGCAACTTTATAGTAAATAAAGATTAATTCTCCAGGATTGGAAGTTATAATCATATACTTATACAGAAGATGAGATGTTAAGAAAGTCGTTTTGCTGCAGACTACTTTCAACTGCCAGATTGATTATGGAGTCGATATTTGTATCCATTTATTTCCTTGAATGAACTGCGATCTTAATTCTAACAAAATTTTTTATGCCGTTAACCGCTTAATGATAAATATTTTTAAATCACTATCGTTTGATTGTCTGTATAATTTTTTTATATATTCTTTTTTCGTCTTATATTATTCTTTTCATTTTTTTGTGGTTAACACCTTAAGGAATTAATTTAATAGAAAATCTAAAAAAGCGAAGATTACAATTATCTTATCCAGATAATAATATTGGTTTCTGTTAAAATGATTTTACAAGGAAATGCAAATACTTAAGAATATTATGTGAGCCATCCAACTTTAAATTTCATTTCATTTATTGTATTAAAAAGAACCATTTTTAGTTTTTGAAAGATCATTAATAGCCATTCTGTAAATAACGTTATCTTCATCACATGCATGTAATTTAATTAAATTAACAAATACCACCCCGCTGTCATTATTGCTTTAATATCATTCGTCGTTTTATAGATTTGTACAAAATTAATCAAAATATCAAAAATGACCAACTAATACTTCCTAACCCTAAGGATAAAAAATAATAGAATCAAAAGGGCTCGACCGTAACTTTCTAAATCTACCAAAATGAAATTAAAAATATAGTGTTTACTTTGAATAAAGCCAAACTCAAGTATGAAGCTCAAAATAAATAATTTAATAATTTAATGAAAAAATAAATTAATAAAAAAACCTTACCTATGCAACCTGACATAATCCAACTCGAAATAAATAGCCTAAAAATTAACCAAAAATTAATAAAATAAAGTAAAAATAAAAAAATAAGGCCTTACCAAACAGAATATTTTTATTATTATTAATTTATTTTTTTGGAATTTGCGCCCTGTTCTTTTCAATTGAGTTGAACCATTTCTGCAAGTATTAGATATTTTCGTTTTTAGTTTTGGCCTTCGATAACTTCGGTATTTTTTTTTCCCTTTCGTTCTTTTTGGCATTATTTTTATTTAAATTATTATATAATTAATTTTCTAAATTTTAGTTTATTTTTTCGGATTCGTGACGGAGTGTCAGTTCGAGATGCTGCAATAAAGAATTTCTAATTATTATTTTGTAACTGTTTATTTCAAATTTTTTTTTATTTTTGGCTCGATTGGGCCATAGATATCTTTTGTCCCGTTATTATCGTTATATTTTGGAAATCCTTGATTTATAACCGGGTATAAATTGAGGTCGACTACATTAATTTATCGAGTTGGTTTTTAATATGAAGAACAATTTGCTTGAAATTTCCTTAAATTTCTTTTTTAATTTAAATAATGAACACAAAACTTATTTTTGTATTCAGTTCTTTCGTTTATGTATTTATAAACAATTGTATTTTGTAAAGCAGGAGGATTAAAAGAATATTGAAGGAATTATGACGCTAAATTTGTTTAACTAAAATCAATTAATCAGTATCTCGACGCTCTACACTTTTAAACTCAATAAAAGCTAATCACTACAAATTCTAATTAATTAATACTACGCAAAACACAAAATAAAATAAAATAAACGAAGTTACAACGTTATATAAAAATTTTAATTAGAACAACATATCGTTCGAAATTGATCTATAGATTTAGCGGAGGCAATTTATGGAAAACTAATGCAACAGTAACGGAAACCAAATAATGTGTAAAAAAAAGGTTAGGTAAATAAACAATTTCAATTTTTATTAGCTATTTACATAAAAGTTAAATTTATTAAATATGAAGTTATTAAAGAAAATAACGTCATCCTAATAAACAAAATCTTAAGAAAACATGATACTTGTGCTAAAATAAATTGATAAATGTATCAATCCAAGCTAGACTGAGAAAAAGATATATTCAATTTTAAAGGTTGGTAACAATATTTTGGCTTTTGACCTTAGTATTCTAAACTGAACGTATTAAAATCTGTAATTTCGTTATAATTATTCCTTTAAATTAAAAGAATTAGTTATCAAATTTCTATGCGTTTTTCACCCATTCTTGAATGTGATTATTTGTAAATACATTTATTTAACTTGTTATACTTATTACAATTTTTATTCTCAGGTTTACATAACATACAATAATAAAAAGTTTGATAAACTCCCTAAATATTCACATTATAAAATTATAACGCATCAACCCGGCCTGGAATCTTGGCAAATGATCATAAAAAGACTAACTGCAAATATCGAAAGCGATTTTTCTGCTGACTTGTAACACTACCAATAAGTGAACAAATTTGTGGTCAAAATTTATGGATCACGCACGCATTAATATTATTAAGGCACTGCAGTTCAAGCATGTGAATAAATGTCGATAATATGAACATGCAACTATATCAAATTATGAGGCTAGCACTTCTCGATTCTCATAAAAAAATGTTAA